CACACCTCCTGCACATCTTCCGGTTTCAGGCCACCCCTTTCCACTGCAGCTTTTATGGCGACACTTCCTAATTGTGGAGCTGACAGCGAAGCTAACTGCGACCGGAAAGACCCAATTGGTGTACGGGCAGCTCCAATAATGAACACTTCCTGCAAGTACTAGAAAACATCAGAATGAAAGTTCTGGGAGCAGAAAAGCACAAGGAAGAAAAATGATAATCAGAATTAACCTACCTTGTTTCTCAACGAGGTAGTGGCACTTAGAGCTCGTCGTCCTACTATGTTGGAGCGACCCAACATCTGAAAATGCCAGACAGTGGAAGAAATAACAAAGCAGACGTTATGCGGATTCGCAAAGTTTTTCTGTAGTGTTTTTCATACCAAATAATGGCTTTTTTAATTCAATTTCTCCTAGTGTTAAAAATTTGGCGGCATCAGACCACTGAATGCGATTCTACGTTGGGTGAGGCAATACCTTGCAGTTTGAGTGGAGAACAGATACGGATCGATCGTGCGATCGCGACCAATCCGATGTCAAACTTTGCGAATCGCTTGATTCTTGAGCTGCCCGTACACCAGTTGGGTATTTCCGGTCGCAGTTAGCTTCCCTGACATCGGCCATACTTATCACTCCACACTGGTCGACGGACTACTTCAACTCGGTCCTTTGAGCCGTCTCAATTCGACGCTTTCATCTGCGCTCTCTCGACATATCAGCGCTCATGACTATTGTGATCTCATACATTCAAACTTTTGCCACAGTGTAGTTGGCTCATTCACCTCTTACAATAGTCCCTCCCATCTAGAATGCTTAGTTCTACAGGCTCCTCATCGTCCTCTCCTTGGATTTGAGGCGGCGCCGTGCGCTGTTCCTCTAACATAGCTGGTGGGGCCCTCCGCCATTCGTGCACGCCACCATGGGAGTAAATTCAATGTCAACACCTATCCCGTAAACTCCACGCTTGACTAAAAGGTATGTTCCTACCCTCACAGCTTTCTCGTTGAACGTCGAACATCTTGGCTCCGAAAAGTGGGACATTTATTTCGTCGAACTAGGTAATCCCATAAGGTTTACCCTAATGTCCTGATTGCGAATTACTGCTTTCTCCCAGGCGGCATTTTCCCCACATTTTTTTGCTCGTTAGGACCTTCTTCCACCGCTGAGGTGCACGTGAACCTAATCCTGGCGAGAAAGGAAAGGCTTCGGGCTGTATAAAGCCACTCGCATCCCTCTGCGCGACTACACACTGCACATATTTTGCCATGCGATACGTGATCCCCCAAAATTTATGATTTTTAGTTGTAATTACTGAAATAGTATCCGCTCACTCTCACAAAAATTGGTGAGCTCCAGAAATCAGTCGTTGAACGACGGAATTCGTCAGCATTTACCCTAAATCGCATTGCTCCCCTACGTAAACGAACCACGAATTACACGCACTGAGGAGTAGGCAGTAGAACTGTAATATTAGAGGTCGGATTTTTGGGTGTTGGAGACGCGGAGCATCACCGATCATTACACCCTTGATTTGTAGGTTTATAGAAGACAGTTAGACGAGGCTGTTCTATCAGAATGTATTTTCGAGGCGGCAAGAAATGGCACAGTGAGGTAAAGAATCGCGTTGAGATGTAGCTACTATGAGTAGTTAATTCGTCTCTTAACGGCTATGCTGAGGCGCCGTGTTAGCAGAAGCATGCGTCATGGGGTGTGTTACTAGGACAGAAAGCGACTTTTTTTCGCTGTCGCGGCACCAAAACATTTTTTGCTGGCTAGACGCCCAGTTCTCCACGCTGACCATAGAGTGCACCTGACAGTCCTACAGCGAAAAATCTTTGGCCGCGGCGCAACCATAAAGAAGCTCGCTTTCTGTCGTAGGTACCACACCCGCATGAATACCTAAATCTTGGTCAGTTCCAGAGCCATAGAATGGCATAAACAGCAGTTAGCATATGTGTCAGAACAATCTACAAATCCATACACCTTTTTAAGTATGACAAGCATTGCAAGATTACAAAGGACTGAGTTGTCGGAGCAACTATTGCGAAGAAGAAAACTGTCCAGCAGTGATCCTTTGATATCATCACCAGTACTGCTCCATAAAAAGTCGCAACAGGAACGCAAGATGAATGGGTGGATGGACAGGAGGCAACTACTCCATTACCGACGTGATATAACATTTTCGTTTCCTGAGCAAAGTCTGCCAGTATTACTACTGCTCGTTGAAGGGGTGTTAATATATCGGTTTACTGCAGTAACTGTCGCAAATTATATCAAACTAGCCGAAGGAACATAATTCCATATTCTCAGCTAAATTATGAGATTTTTAAACGGTAAGATTCTGGAAGACATTGGAAACAAGAGCGACATGAAATCCCATCGAATAAGGAAGGAGTAGGACTTTGAGGTTCAGGAGTCCTTGTACTTGAAAGTGTGGAGTGTTAGAGTACCAGATTGGAAATACATTACATTACATTACAGGGATAATTTTGAGAAAGCCTATAGAAAGAGAGGCACAATATAAAATGGGAGATGCTATGACAAGGGAAGCAAGCTCAGTGAATGGAGAGATGAGAAGCTACGATCGCCTGAGTGGGAACGGAAAGCTGCCATACAGAAAGGAGCATACACAGAGATATCGAAGAATGGCAATGCCTCGCTACCTTCAACTGGATCGAACACGTAACAGAGCGAGAGCAAGGTTGAATCTCAATTCAACTGAAGATATAGTATTAAAATGCAGGAAATTTAAGAAACTAAAAAAAAACTTGGGATGATCGTCGCCATGAATTTGGCGTTGATTGCAGATAGTTGGGTGCAATTGCGTTAAATACACGAAAAAACCGAACTCGTCCACGCTACTGCGCTTTGCACTTTGCTTGTGAGCGATCTGTTTTCTAGCGATAAAGATTTGTTTTCTAGATATGTCTCCAATTTAGTCTTAAATCCGTTTCCTCTTATGTTCTTCCCTTTAGTGTAGCCACGCCGAACAAATCTGTACAAGCAGATTCCTCGTTGTTTAGCCTGTCTAAACTTGTGTCGTGTTAGGACTTCTTTTATACTTGGTTAAGCAATTTGTTTACATCGATGAGCTGAAACCATTCCAGCCCAACACATCCAAACTGGGATGATCACCTCAGTCTAGCAAAAATCTCAGCTCCATACAAGTGGGGTAGGCACGCCCAGCTTTTCAGGCATGTCAATTGACTGCCCTCACCCCCACCTCCCTAGGTTGGCTACACTCCCCCTGGCTCACGAATTACCCGATCCCGTATATGTTCAAAAAATGCGGCGTGTCCCCTTATTCTACGCTATAAAATCTTTCTCGTCAAGTGTCCCTGCCAATTCAAATTTTTTTTTTCTTTCTCTTTTTTTCCCTTCCTTTATTTTTTCCTATGCGTAATATTTTTCTGGTTCCTTATTTGATAGTTCATGGAGAGACAGATTAGGTCCCCAGGTCAACGCGGGACTTTATTCCCTTTTACGTTCTTCCCTGTGTATCTTACTCCCTGTTTCATCCACACCTCGTGGAGATGACGCTATGAACAAAAGGTTTCGTTATGGTATGGATCACTACATATCATTCCGACGGCTTATAGTAATACTTATGAATACTTTAAATGGCATAGTTTATTAGGTGCCTCTTATCATCTGCCCCTTCCACCATGCCTCCGCTTCACTGCAGCTCAATTGGAATGGACCGAAAGTGTGTCAGTGAGTGTTTATTATAGCGTTTATCACATATTTCATTACAAACATTTTGATAGCTTCAGTCATGTAGTACCAATTCTGCTAGCGTTTTGTTTGTTCATTTATGCTTATCACTCAATTCATTGTTGGGCGCCAGACTACATAATTACAAACGAAACACCAAGTTAACCCCGGTTTATAAAATAGAAGGTATCTTGTACTTGCCCCGAGTGAGAAGAAAGTGTAGAGTTTGCAATGATTTTTCGATATTCAACCTGCCTTCTTGATGCGAATCTGGAGACCGTGTGTTATCCTTCCCCGGGGAGGAGCTTCAAATCCCTTTTTTTCCTTGTCATTCCAACCAGAATCGCCCAAAGGAATGGCGTATTCTATCTGTAATGAATGTATGTGGCTAAATGTGAGCATACAGTACCGCCAGAGGGAAATCACCGCAGACTCTCTTCTCTTGATATAGCTCATGTCAAACTTGATATTTTTGCTTAATGTTTACAACATTTTTTCATGCTCTATCGATTACCGTGCGAGATGCTACAGGCAAAAGATCAGTTCCTGTTCATGGGAGTCATTTTTTGTAAATCTCAAAATAGACGAATTTTTAGATCAGCATTCCTGTTTTTTTTGTCTGAACTTGCCTCCTAGTTAGTAGATCGTAGTGGATAGTTATGCTATCATTTTAGTAATGCGGTGTGATTTTGTTGAAGTAGTAAAACAAATGAAAAAAAACAAATGGAATTGGTCACGGTCGGAGAAATGTCAAAATTTATCATAAAAAAGAAATAAGGAATTCTTTTAAAAGTCCACTCTGTTCTGCTAACGTTTTGTATCGTAAAATATCAGAAAGTTAGCCAAAAATATCAAGCTTGACATGAGTAATGGCGTAAAAACTGCGCTGGTTTCTTTCTTGCGTTGAAACTTGCGGAACTGTGCGTTGAAAGTAAGGAAAATATGTTGTTCAAAACAATTAAATTCAAAGGAATTATGTTCTTTTGCCCTGCGGCCTTGGTATTGATCAGAACCTGAACAGTCAGTTAGCGAAGCTAGCCGTTCCTCTATCATTTTAGGTTTGCTGTGTTTCCTGACGTGAATCCATGAATCAACAAATTCATTCAGCGTTGGAATCCGTTGAACCATAAGAAAACTAGGGAAAGGGGAAGGTAGACAGGAAGATTATGACAACGCTTGTTGACGTCGCAGTCGCCCATCATCCTCTTAACTGGTCACTTACAGTTACTGGTTGGTCAGTTCACTCACCTGGATTGCACCAAGGGCAAACACCTGACTTTGGAAACCATGCATTGATATGCA